ATGTTGTACCGAGTGAATTGACTGAAAGCGAACTTCTGTTTTCATTGGCTGTTAATTCTCGGGTAAGCCTGGATTTTTCTAAAGCCTGTAGTACCACCGGGAAAAGCAAGAGGACTCTTTTTTCCTCCATAGCTTACCTGTCTAATATCAATCTGTCAGGAGATAGTGACAGAATGAAAAAATATGTAAAAAATACATTTTTAGAAAAGTTACATACTGCACCTTTAAATGGAGGCGTGTCAGGGGAGGAGTCTCAGTTCCACATTCATTGGGATGCATAAAGTAAATTTGCGCAGAAACATGCGTACGCATGGATTTATACATCTGAATTTTTTGGTGCGGCGCACTTTTCTAAAATTTTCCGTACGTCAACATTTAGTGTGAAAGCTGCGTAATCCTTTATGTAAGAGGCCCAGGTGACTGACTTGGCCGTTCAAGAATATTCCACTTCTTTCCTTTAATAAACTCCTGGGTTGTTTTGGCTTTATGTTTTGGGTCATTGTCCATCTTTAGGATGAAACAGACCAATCAGTTTGTCTGCATTTGTCTGATGTGAGCACACAGTCTGGCAGAGTTCATTGGGCTGCTTCTGTCCTGTGTCACATCATCATTAAACACAGTGAGCCAGTGCCACTGGCAGCCATCACACTGCTCTGCTGGGTTTTACACATGATGTGGTGCTTTGGATCAGGACCTGGACCAGGTCCATCATTCTGCTACAGCTTGATCTTGTTTCATCTGTCCAAAGAATGTTCTTCCAGAACTCTGCTGCTTTTTTACAGGTTTTTATCAAAGTCCAGTCTAGCCTTTTTATTCTTGAGTCTTCTGAGTGTCTTGCAGCGTGCAGTGAAGCCTCTGTATTTACTTTCATGCAGTCTTGTCTTTATGGTAGATTTGAATGTTGATACTTCTACCTCCTGCAGAGGGTTGTTCACTTGGTTGGCTGTTGTGAAGGACTTTCTGTTCACCATGGAGATTATTCTGCCATCATCCACCACTGTGGTCTTCTGTGGGCACCCAGGTCTTTTTGCAGTGATCAGTTCACCAGTGCTTTCTTTCTTTCTCTCTCAGGATGAACCGAACTGTAGATTTTGCCACTCCTAATATTGTAGCAATTTCTTGGATGGGTTTTTTCTGTTTTTGCAGTAAAAGCTTTGTTGCCAGCATATATATTTGCATATTTGTACACCTGTACAATATGTCATAACTGTACACTTTATGGTTTCAACACAGAGACTTCACTCTGGGCTCAAATTAAAGATAAACCCCCCACAAAACACATTCTACCATCTATATTTACTCACAGCATGATTAAATTAAAATATATATTGATGTTCAGAAATATTTAGACCAACTGGAGTACATTCAAATGAATTTCCACCAACAAACAGCCAAAACACAAGAATAAACACATATATCCTTATTTCTTTCAAAGCATTAACATTCCACACAGCTTATAAAACCACCAGCAGCAAAAAAATATTTGTTTTTCACTCATATTTGATGCATATTTGTCCTCAAATATGATGAAATTAGCGACTCAAAATGGCCGACCGTAAGTGTTTTTATCCAAATATTTTTACTTCTCCTGGCCACAAAAATCACTCTTCCATGTCTTGAAGCACTCGAAACACTTAATAATAAATATATTTTCATCTTATCAGCAGGTTTAGTCAGCTAACTGGACAAAAAAAAAAAACGATGGAAAAAAACATTTTCCTGTGAGCGTAGCTTTCTTTGGTAGCGTAGCACGACTGTCTAAAAATGGCGACTTCCTCTGTRTTTTCCTTGTCCGTYACTAAACAAAGTTCCCACCTCCTCAATATATATACCAAATGAAAGGTGCGGTGATTGGCTACACAGCTGTGGCATCAGAATGAAGCTCGGAGCTGATTGACCAATTCTACAGTCAATCAAGTCCAGGATGATGGAAACCAGAAGTTGGTCACTTCTTATTTATTATTGGCTCTGGACAGCCGATACTTGAACCCAGTTGGTCAAATGAGGTGTCAATCAAAAGAGGAGGGCCTAGACGTCAATTTTGATGCATTGGACAAGGACACAGGATGAACAGAAACACAGAAAGACATTTCAAAACAAAACTAAGCAAAAACAGAACGTGGGCGTTCTGCTGAATGTAAGGATGTCTTGTTTCACMTGCATGGAGAGCTCCTTTGACCTCATGTTTACTTCACAGCAAAACTTTCCAAATACAAGCAGCACACCTCAGATCAACTCCAGACCTTTTATCTGCTTCAATGAGAATGACATAACGAAGGGATTGCCCACACCTGTCCATGAGATAACCTTGGAGTCAACTTTCCAATTACTTCTGGTCCCTTTAAAAACAGGGTGGCACATGTTAAGGAGCTGAAACTCCTAAACCCTTCATCCTGTTTTAATGTGGATACCTGAGACAAGTGCAGCAGTTTGCCCATGAGGAGTGGGCCAAAATACCTGTGTACAAGTGCATAAGTCTCATTAACAAATAATAAAATTGTTTACAGTAATTGCCTCTAAAGGTTGCACGGTGTTGAGTGCCAAGTCCACATGCATTAGTTATTTTAAGTCATAAATTGAATGAATAATTGATTAATACTGATTGAAAATGCAGTGTCTAAGAGTGGGGGCCTCTTCTCAGGAATGCACAGATGTACTGTGTCTCTCTCAGTCTCCTGCTTCAGAGCTCGGCACATGACCATATTAGGAAAAGGAATGTTTAAGGTATACCGTGACAAAATTTATGGTACATCTGTTGGACTGCACTGTGAAACCTATAAAAAGCCTTGTACACCCCTACCCTTCGCCTTCGTCTTCATCTTTTTACTTGGTGATTTCATTTGGCTTGGAAGGCCACAATTTGGTTTTTGGCTGTAAATCTCCTGGACTGCAAAATAAAGATTGTTGCTGTTCAACCTGCCTGTTTCAGAGTTTCTCTCTTCAGGAGCAACAACACAGTTTGCAGAACCCAGAAGACGTGGTTTTTACACCTCAAAAATATTATTATGATGATAAATTGCTGTAAGATTTAAAACAAGGAACAGTCTCACCTTTTCAGTAACTGTGTGGAAGTTGAGTGCCAGCTCCAGTCGCTGCTGCCTCTCATCAGCAGTGACACTTAACTGCTTCCACATTCGGTTGAGTCGAGGCAGCGTGTCGCCAGATGAGCGCGTCGTACAACGCAGGGACTGGCAGAGAACGATGGTTGCCTGCAGAAGCTGACGGCCATAATCATAGGTGCTCTGAAGAACAATAATTTTAAAAACAGGACTGTTACTCTGTGTTGATTGTATTTTATATGGATCCTCAAGTTCAAACCTTACATGATATTTTCCTGGTGTAACATCAAAGTATCTACAGGTCTGAGTAAATGACTCAACTAACTGACAGACAGAGAGAAATACAACAGAGGTGCACAAGACCAAGATGCATTTTTATACTGTTCTTATTTCCATTATTTCAATGTCATGATGCTACAACCCCTGGAAAAAATGATGGAATCACCAGGAGGACGTTCATCTAGTTGTTTAATTTTGTAGAAAAAAAGCAGGTCAGACATGAGACAAACTAAAGTCATTTCAATTGGAAACTCTTTGGCTTTAAGAAACACTAAAAGAAATCAAGAAAAAATGTGGTAGTCAGTAATGGTTAATTTTTTTAGACCAAGTAGAGGGGAAAAATGATGAAATCATAAAGAACAAACAAAAAAAATACTCCAACTCATCTAGTATTTAGTCGCACCACTTCTGGCTCTGCAGTCTCTGAGGCAGGGACTTAATGAGTGACAAACACTCRTCATCAGTCTGGCTCCAACTGCCTCTGATTACTGTTACCAGACCAGTTTACAGGTTGGACTCTTACCAGACCAGTTTACAGGTTGGAGTCTTACCAGACCAGTTTACAGGTTGGAGTCTTACCAGACCAGTTTACAGGTTGGAGTCTTGCCAGACCAGTTTACAGGTTGGACTCTTATCAGACCAGTTTACAGGTTGGACTCTTACCAGACCAGTTTACAGGTTGGACTCTTACCAGACCAGTTTACAGGTTGGACTCTTACCAGACCAGTTTACAGGTTGGAGTCTTGTCATGAACCATTTTCTTCAACTTCCACCAAAGATTTTCAACTGGATTCAGATCAGACTATGTGCAGGCCATGACATCAACCTTATGTGTCCTTTTTAAAGGAATGTTTTCACAGTTTTTGCTCTATGGCAGGATGCATTATCATTTTTGAAAAATGATTTCATCATCCCCAAACATACAATTGCACTTTTAACATATTTTATTATTTATTTACTTTTTATTTTTTAAATTTTCCTTTCTTCTAGTTTAGAAATGGACCAGGGTTCTGTGTCTTTAATAAAGTTTGAACTGAACATGATCCTTTGTGAGTTTATATTTGTTGATGAGGTGTTTACTTAGTAAATATGYGTACAAAACATATGTGGAACTTATATTTATACGTCTCGTGCTCCATGTCGACCACTATTTGGTGCTGCTCAAGTCTGCATTGGATGCTGACTCTCTGTGGAGGGCTTAATAAGCCACGCCCACTGGTACGTAATTGGTTTCAGATGGGACTTAACATGGCCGACCCTCTGCGGGCACACACAAACAGAATGAGGAGGGAGTAGGGCGAGGATGTAGTCACTGATTGGGAAAGACCCTCTGAGCAGCTGCACACTGTGGGCAGGGTGGGGTGAGCAGCTCGTTCACAAACATGATTTACACCTGTGAGACAAAACTCTGGGCTTTGATTTGCTCTTTTTCTACAGGAGCAGTGATTTGAACAGATGGCTGTAGGACCACCAGGAGGAGCCAGAGGACTTTTGTATTTTCAGAGATTATCTGTCTAATATCAATCTGTCAGGACATAGTGACAGTTTTAACAAATATGTGACAAGTTTCCATTTGAGATGACTTAGTTTTGTGTGTCTGTGATCTGCTTTTTTTCTACAAAATTAAACAAGTGAATGAACATCCTCCGAGGCCGGAGATTCCATCATTTTCACCAGGAGTTGTACATTTAGATGGTGAAATGAGTAACTAAACATCAAAATAAGAGCACTAAGTTATTTATAGGACATGAAGTGTCCTACCTGACCAACATCCACAAACTTCTTGTGTTTGTCCAACATGGTCCTCGTCTCCAGAGAGTCGTCTCCCAGTCTGACATGAGTCTTCAACAAGGCGTCCAACAGCTCACTGAGCCACTCGAACACATACACACACACACACACACACACACACACACACACACACACACACACACACACACACACACACACTTGTTAATCATTATCAGACCAATCCAGGAAGAATACATATTTTCATGTGTGGTTTTATGATCGTGTGTTTCTGACCTGTAAAGCATCTTCTTCACATTTAAACAGCTGGACCATCTGCAGCATCTTCAGCCTCCTCACATCCACCATGTCCTCACACCTGCAACACACACACACATGGTCAAATGACATCATTAGTGTGGAACACCATGATGTTCTCCTTCCTTATACCAACAACAGAGAGAAAGCTACCTCTGCTTGCGGAGCTCCATCTCCTCCATCACAGCCTGGATGTGCTGAATGTTGTCCTGCTGCTCTCCAGCTGGACTCTCTGATTCCTCAAGAGACCAAGATGAGTTGCTGCACATCTGCTCCAGCAACAGAGACCCCTTCTGACGAAGGGAGGTCAGACCTGCTTCTGCATTTGAGCATTGAGCAGTTGTTACAAACACAAAGCAACTGTAGGAAACAAATGGGAAAACTTTTACTTGGATCACAAACCRACAGTCTGCAGTTTCTCCTCCAGCAGTTTGAGGTTCTGCTGAATAGACGCCCCGTCGGCTGGAGAAACATCAGCACAGAGCATGCCCAGAAGACCATCCAACTGCTGGGACAACTGCAGAGACAGATGCAGCTTACTCATTTTGATTATGTCATTACATTAAGATTAAATTAAATATTGTTAAACTAGTAATTTTTTTGCACCTTATGGTTTTGTTAACAGAGTTAGTTTATTTGTCACCCATCACTCGAAATGAGGATCAAGTCAAATTTGGTAAAAATGACCTAATCATATTTTCAGATTCCTGCTTTAAAAGTTACATTTTGATACTTAGATCCTCCTAATATCATTAGTAGATCCAGAGATATTATTTAATTTGTCTTGTTGGTTACAATAATACATAAATATTTGGTCTAAATCCTAATTTTATGTCATTTTAATGAGGATTTTTTATGTCATTTGAAAAAAGAAACTTCAAATAGTAATTGAATATTGATATTTCCCATCTGGAAAGAAACAAAAGCGTTGACAGCTCACAGGGAAAATCTCAACATTTTAAGGCATTTTTCCTGAAAATCGTGTTTTTGGTTGCTAATGCTCAAAAAAGCACTTCAAAAAAGTTTTTTAGGATAATATTTCAGACAGTTCATTGATACATTGATAACACATTTATTTGTTATATTTTGACAAAATATAGTTTTTGCAAGCGTTTAAATCAAAACACTATATCTGCCTATTTCTCTACAGACAACTTTTAGAGTTAATCCTGGTTAGGAAGTGACGGGTCCCATTGATGTCCAGTTTCTGTGAAATACCTCCTGTGTGGTGCAGTGAAAGACCTGCGCCGCCTGCAAAACGTTCTGACGGCTTTCCAGTTGAGACGCATGTCGATAACAAACATCACTGAGTTGTTGCTGCAACACCTTCAGCTCCGTCACTCCCTCGTCCTCCTCACCAGCACTAAGCAAGGCAGCAATCTGCTGGTTCAACTCCACGTACACCACAAACCACTCCTGTACACAAGGACAACATGTTGTAGTGAGTTGTTRGGAGAGAAACAGAAARGGTGATTAAATATTTCTGTCCTACACTACATTTTTGCCAAGTTGGGGCACCAGGTCAGTTATTGACCAACATTTATTCACCCTTTTTAAYCAGACTCATATTTACCAAAGTGTGAGATTCGTAYGATGTAACAGTGAATTCTTATCACAGAGCAAAATAATCAAAGATGAGGAACCAGCTTTGTCTTTTATGGTAATTTATTACAAAAATATAGCAAGAATCAATTTCATTGAATCATGAATAAACAGTAAAAATAACAAAGACAAGYTATAAGGTTACTAAACAGTTAAAAATACAAAAGGATTGTAGACTTGATGTTATACATCTAGTTAAGATGTCTGGACGTTAAAACCTTTATAGAATGAAAAAATATTTTTCCCAAAGGAAATATTTTTCTTCTATTAATTAACTGTCAAGAGACCCAGGTAAAAGCATATAAGCAGTGGTGGACAGCACTATGTCAAAAGTTAGTTGCGCAAAATCTAAAGCGCAAGTTAAAATATTTAGTTCCGCAAGTTCTAAAGTGCACGTGCCCAAAGAAACTTAGTGGAAGCTAGAACTAAAGCCCAACATTGTCTCACAGTTCACCAGAATATATGTTCCAGTGATAACATGAGTTATTGTTGCACAATACTGCCAACTGGTGGCATGACAAATTACTTTCAGCCAATGGCACATATCGTCGCGGTTTGGGGAGGTGATTTRTTGAAACAGACTTTTCACCCATGGTGTTAAAATAAAAAAAGTTGTTGTTTATTGTTAGTTCTGCTGCTTCTTGGTCGTTTTGTAGCCCACCGGCTTCAAAATGCTGGCTTCTTTAGATTTGTGTTTTTTGTGTACAGTGCCCTGAGACAACAGTTGTTGTGACTTGGCACTATATAAATAAGCTGAATTGAATTKAATTGAATTTTCTTATGTTTATGGTAGGGCTTCGATACGAAAGCATGCAATATGTTAGTAATTTTAAACTGTTTATTGGAGAAGTGAAGCAATGTATTCTGAACACAGGCCAAAGTAAAGGAAACCATCTTAACTTCAAAATAAGAGCATGAATTTAAACTGTGCCACGTGTAGCTTAGGTTGGTGGTTGAAGATGCAGTGGTCATAAATTATTAAAATTCCTCCCTCTACCCTCCCACAGCTCATATAAGTATATAAAAAACAATAATGACGGCTGGATATTGTTTGTTTTTCATTCAACTATCAGTGTTGTTGGGATAACTTTTTTTCTGTTAACGGTGGTGTTGGAAAAAAAAGATGTGAACATCAGCTTTTGTTCAATAGGATTAAACCAACTGCTGATCTAATAATAATAATAATAATAATAATAGATTATATTTGTAATGCACTTTATATCTGAAAACAGATCTCAAAGTGCAACAGTAAGAGACGATAAAAACAGCAATAAGAAAAATAAAAGAGTAAAAAAATAATAAAAGAGATAAAAGAGAAGTTAACTATAGGATTGTCTGAATAAAAATGTCTTCAGCTGCTTCTTAAAAGAGTCAACAGACTGAGGTACCTCAGTCAGGCAGGGCATTCCAGAGGTGAGAGGCAACAGTCCGAAAAGCCCCATCATCCATGGTACGGAGCTTTGTCTTAGGGGTACGGAGACGATGACTGGCTGTGCTGTGGGGTTGTCCTGTGGTGGTGTGGGGGGTCAAGAGCTCTGTGAGGTATGGAGGGGCAGTTCCATGAAGGCATTGGAAGGTTAAAAGACAGATTTTGAAGGGGATGTGTTGATGAATAGGAAGCCAATGGAGGGAGCAAAGGATGGGGGTGTTGCTGGGGGTGATCTAGCTCTTAACAATTGGCTTAAGACAAAATTCAGGGTTTTCCCTGCATGTAACTGATCGTGGTGCTCCACCACGGCAAAATAAAAGCCGCCACACCTTCAGAATGAAGCGATTTTTTTATCAACGTAAAACAGGGGTTGACACAACCATTAGGTTGTCCGACAACATTTTTTTGTTTCGGACAACCAGATCCGGCCTACCGGTCGTCCGGTGGACAACCAAGAAAAAAAGACCTGGATTAATGTTTTCCTCCGCGGGTGTTCTTCATGGTAAAAATGAACAGGAGAAACAAAAACTTGTTAAAGCCATCCAGGGATTAAACTGATGGTTCTTTCATCCAATAACCAGGTGAGAGCTGTCAGCGTTTCCTGGGAGATTTTCCACCGAGGATTACATCGTATTATTTATAGATTATATTAAAAGTAGACAGTGTCAGCCTCACATTTTGGATTAACTGAAGACTTCTTAAAGTGTTTTTTGGATAGCGCTCTCTCTTCTGAAAAGCCACCCTCGTTTTATTCTGGATTTGAACTAAATCTTTCTTTTTAACTTGGACTTTGTCTTGGGTCTTCTGTTTTCTGAGCAGTCTCCACTCGAGGAGTTGAACGTTTTCCTGTGATCAGCTTGTTTTGCCTCCATCGGCACAGTAGCACATGGCACAGCTTTGCGGGTGGGTGTTTGAGGGGTGGGGTGGGGGGAGCATCTCGTTCACCAACATGATTGACACCGGTAAGACAAACCTCCAGCTTCTGATTGGCTGTTTTTGTCCGAGAGCAGTAGATTTGAACAAATGGCTGTAGGACCAGTAGCATTAAGGATGTTATAACACCAAGAAACAATTTCTCAATAAGACTCGTTTTCTGTTCTTATTTCACATCTATATTTGATTCAGATTTCATGTCACCAGGTTGGCACATGACATGTGAGTGTGTGTGTTTTCTTACACTGTGCTGACTCTCAATCTCCTCATGTTTCTGCTGCAAGGCCCGAGCTGCTCGTGCAGAGTCTCCAACTGCTTGATGATTCTTCAGCAGTTCTGAACCTGGACCCTGCAGCCAGTTGACCACCTAAAAGAAGGATAAAACACAAATAAATATTACACTGTTAGTGTTTTAATAACGTAGGAAAAGAGTGAGATTCCATTTAAAACGTCAATACATTCTGATTAGACAAATAACATGTCAAAGTCAATAAAGTGTATAAAATGTTTGTGAATAATAAAGCACAAGATTTGGAATCAAAGCACATAAAATGAATTCAGTAATAATTTGTGTTTTCTTTTGTTACATGTGAAAACGTCTATTGTAATCAAGGCTTAGCGAGAAGCATGTTGGTTTTTGTGAGGATCTTTTCACGAGACAAGTTCAGATTCAGAGACTGCTGCCAGAAATTTTTTTAAAGAAAAGCTTTAACGTCAATATGTGAAATATTTATTTTAACCAAGGAGGTTCTATAGAACAGCTGGAGCTCGGAAACCAGGTGACCATATGTCGGCTGGTGAAGCTAACGGCTAACGCTAAACGG